GCTGTCTGTGAGGAGGCTGAAAAAGTCTGAAAGTAGGGCAGCTTGGTGATGCACAAAAGGATTGATAAGGCCAGCTTCTTTCTGGAAGTCACTGGAAAAATTCCTAGAGAGCAGAATCACCTGGAAACTCCTTAATGAAATCAACATCACATCAACACAAGAAATGGGGAGGTCTTGCCCAGGGGAAAACCCCAACAAAACAAAACCCCTTCATGAACCAAACATCCCCACGGAACCCCACGCACTGTGTCACAAAAGTCTTTTCAGCATCACAGCAGATGCCAAGCTACAGGCAGCCTTATTAGCAAGGTGCAACAAAACTTGCAGAATGGTTGTAGATATAAAGCTGAACTTTGTAATAATAGTTCAAAGTCACAGCAGAAGTCTGAAGGCAGGAATCCCAAGAAAGACAACAGTTGTTTGAATACATCTAGGCAGATGGGCAAAGAAGTCTGAGATACAAAATACCAAAGTTGAGTAAAGTCATTTCCTAAAGGCATCCACATATCTGCAGTTCTTGGTAGAAAATCTGTTCCATTATTTTAGTTTATAGACACTGTAAATGAGGAAGAGGTCAACTAGGCAAAAAGAAAACTTTCAGTGCCTCATTCACTGCATAACACTTCTCTGGAGGGAGGGACAAAGAAAGTTAAATGTCAGACCCAGAGGTCAACATGGCTAAATTTATTGGTACCAGTAACTTTGGAGTTAAGATGTGATGAAGAATAAAGACTGTGCATCAACTCAGGTATCTCCTCCAACACACATTTAACAAAATTCTTTATTCGTTTTAGGAAGGATTTATAAACCTGAGTGAACATGACTGCAGAAGTTCAGTTGGTTTCTGACTGGGTATGAATTATCAAAAAAACAAATATAAGCAGCTGAGAAGAGTTCCCAGAAACAACCAGGAGATTAAGCAGCAGAGGACTAACTTGCATCACAACAGGAGATGGAAGTCATGGAAGTACACAAATGTGAGCTTCCATGCACTTTATGATATTCCAGAGAATGAGAATTTCTAATAAAGACAGCAAACAGAAAGCTAATGCCCACTCTATGTTCCAATATCTCAGGTTTTGATAGACCAATCCTCAAAATTCTCTTTAACCTCTTCAAAGAGGAGAGAGCTCTTAAAGTAGAAAAGGCAGAGCAAGATTGGAATTAAAGCCAGTATCAGAACGTAGTTAGGCACGGAACAGGAGGGTCTTCTCATGAGCCTTATGTCCCTGTTTTGGAAGGGCTCACTGTTTCTTGCACATCATCCCACAGCAGTCTAGGTTGTTGAGCCTCACGCAATACCATCCCCAACGGGTGATGCTCAGAAGACACAGTGGACTTCACTAAGAAAGTAGACTGAGTAAGAAAGACTTTGGAAAATCTAAAGAAACTATGAAGTTGCTTTGCCTCAACAGAAAATTGATGAGGTTGTAAGGGCTGCTGGGGAGGCATTCCACACAGAAGTTTGACCATCAGAGTGCAGAACTGATCTGACATACACATTAATAGTAATTGCTACCAGCACGTCATTAAGTTAACACAAGATGAATTTACCTGAAAGGTACCTGGCCTTGTGCTTGTGTTCTGTGATCTAGGAGAGTCCTGTGTGGAAATGTCAGGTTTAAACTCTTTCAACTTCTGCAGCTGTTCTTTTTGCTCTCTGCACATGGATCACAAGAAAGTGTTATCAGTCTGTAGCTTAAATGAAAAATTAAAGAAATCAACGCTCACAGTGAAAACCACGTATTACACTAGCAATAGGAGCCAAGTCCAAAGATGAGAAGGACACAGCAGGCTTTACATGGTCAATGCTATGATTCAGAAATCTCTGTTTCACATTTACTTAACCATGGAGGTATTTAATACATAAGTTGCCTCCTTTTTTTGATCACAATTTTCCTCTGCAACACGCAGTTATGCCTTTGTGCTTGACGAGAACCACTCTGCTTTGGCAGGAAAGAGCAAAGCTAGATTTTAGCTTCTGACAACACCTTCTGCAGATCACAAACCCAGTGGAGATGCAAGCCTAAGTGCTCTCAGTGACTTGCTCTGGGTTGCACACTAACAGGATTGAGGCCAATACAAAGCAGAGACTCCAACATTTAAAAATAAAGCGGTGATGTTAGCTTTTGTTTCCTGGTTTTATGTATGAAAATGCTATCTAGTCTATGGAGGACAGACCAAGACCAGTCATAAATACTACAACCACTGGATTAAAGATCCATCTATTCAATATGATTTCCTTTCAGGTTTTGTTTGCATCTTTTTATCTAGGTTTTTTTATTGCTAATAACTCTTTGTTCATATTAATTGTGTATATTAAAGTAGTGCCCAAAGAACAGCTGAGAATGGGATCCCTCTGTACTAGGCACAACAGAGGTCATCCTGACTAGCAACCCATCTGCTCAGTGTCCAGTAGAAGGGGACCTCGGCTCACAGAAAGGGATCCAAAATGCTTCATTAGTACAAAGAGTAAACTGAGCAATTGCTAGCACTTAAAAGGTCATCTTTACACCTGGCTTAGGAAAAATACACCAGATGACAAATACAGAACAGCAGAGTATGCTGTTTTATACACAATAAAATCAAAGCCAGATGAAGGCTTTACCTTTGGAGATAAAAGCAGTTACACACCACGCTACTAGTATAACTCTTGGCTCAAAAATAAAATAGCATAAGCAGTCTCCTTAAAGTTGTTCCTACTGTTCAGACTGGGGTCACCTCCTCACAAGAACCTGATGAGAAGTAACAGTGTAACTAATTTTTAAGATTATCCTCATATTAATTTAAAAATCAGAACCAGTAGTGTCATGTTTATATTTCCTATTTTTACTGGCTTAGAAAGAAGTATATGTATCTACTTTCTTACATAAAATGTTTTCATCTATGTTTAAATATTTCAGCCCTAATAAATTATTCACTTAGGCAGTGATTCCCAAACTAGGGTCCTTAGATTAAGTCCACTGGCTTGCAACTAGTCACATTAAACAGCAAAATATATACCTGGCAATCTGAGGCAATGGGAAAGTCAGGAAGCTGAAAATTATCTGTTACTCTGAACTTTTGGCAAATATTACTTTATAACAGAGATTTCAGTTACTAACACCTGTTGAATTAATCTAATTGCAGTGAAAGATTAAATTATTCAGAATAAAAATTATCCCTTCCTTTTAAAAATTATTTTTCTTGCATTTTAGCATGCAACTAAGGCCTTCCATATGGGACAGATCCGTAGCAATCTTATGAGTCTAAAACCAAAACAGCTTCAAGAAAAGTCCAAAACATCTATGTTTCTTGCAACATGGTTGAATGTAAATATAGTAATGATAACCAAACATTCATTTAATTGCCTATTATTTTAGCGTATCTTGTTTACAGAATTACTAGGCATCGATCCTTAGTTATCTCTCAGTAACTCACTAACAGAATGAACCACATGAACCTCTGCCTCTAAGATGTTTCCTCTTTTCTCTACGGTCTCCTCTGAAAGGTCTCATTCACTGAAAATAGTAATCTTTCCGGGTTTTGGGGGATTTTTGTTTGGTTTTTGTTTTTTTTTTTTTTTAAAAAATACATTTAATGCACCTAAACCCATGCATCAAATCATAAAGCTAGTATTTGGATAGACAGTATGTGCTCCATTCATTCTAATATTACTAAGTTTACTGAGCCCTAGGATGTTTCTGATGTTTAAGAGAAAATTCTACTACTTATTTTTAAATAAACACTTATTAAAGCCTTAGGGAGTCTAGTAGCTGCTTTCTAAAATGTGGTCTTAGTGAACTCTTGCATTCATATCCTCCTGATTGTTATCACTGCTGTTATGCTGATCCTCAGAACTCAGATCAACCAAACTTGACAAAATCATTCACTGATGATGCTGGATTTCAAATAAGGGATTATTGTAAAAAGAAAAAACCCTCATATACTTTAATTAAAAAGTAAGCAGTATCCAAAAATTAAACAGGTCCCATTGTGTGGATTAAGAACCACATTAATGTTGATCTTGACAGGTAAGTATTAAAAAGCAATCATCAATGAGCTCATCTGACACTAATAAAAAGACTGAAAAGCAATTATCAACAAGCTCATTTGAGGATAACAAAAAGATTAGGCCGGGGATGTGGACATATCTCTTCCTAAAAAGTAACAAACAGAGAATGCCATATTCATGGGGAAAGGGACAACCACCTATTTAAGACAAAAAGTCCATCCACAAAAGCTATGATGAAGGTACTCCCAATAACTTGTTCCACACGAGCTCCCACTATCATACTGTGGTGACAAGAAATGAAGCCATTGCTGTGTCCATCAAGGAATGAATTAGGAAAGGAGCACCATCTCCACAGAATGGGATTCCCACCCAAAGTGACAGAACCAGGCAACTTACCGAAGCATTTTGAGCTCCTGGGCAGCCTTCAGAATTATCTCATGCTGTCTTTGGCTAAGGACCATCACTCCTCCCAAGGACTGGTCAGAGTCCAGGTTTGAATCTGTTCCCAGCATATCAGAGGAATGTGAAGGTGGAGGAAGGGATGACTCTGAATGATCATCCAAAGACCGCAGCCTGTCTCCATCATCTGGATACCACCTATCCGACAACCGTTCCCTCTCCCAGTCAGTCCTTTCAGGAAGGTAGTCTTGCTTCTCCCGCCATGTGTCATATCTCTCTGGATACTCTCGAATCCTCAGCTCCCCCCTGTCTCGGAGGTCTCTGTCATAATGATCTCTGTTCCTATCTTCCCTCCACCTATCTTCACGGTATCTGTCCAGAGGTGGAAGAGGTGGTAATGGTGGTAGAGGGGGGATATCCAGGTCACGATTCCCCATTTCTCTGTCATCCATAGGTCTCATGTCCCAGTCTCTATCCCATTCTCGGTCTAAATTTTGATCATAAATGTCTGAAGATCTTCCAGTCCTATCTAGATCCCTCTCTAGTTCCCTTTCTCTTGGCCTTTTCCAGTCATCCCACCATGAATCTCGTCTGTCATGATCAGATGATAAAGGAGGTAGCGGCGGTAGGGGAGATAATGGAGGCAATGAATGGTGGGATTGCAACCTGTCATCTCTGTCATACGTATCTACAGAATCATCCTGATAATCAGAGTTGTGATCTCTCCAGTATCGTTCTCTTTCCCAGTCATCCAATCGCTCCTGCTCCAAAGAAGGGTCATCTTGACTGTCTAAAGGAAACTCCTCCTGCATTCTATCATCTTCATGACCCCAAGAACCCCTGAGTGTCTCATCTCGATGGTACGGAGGCAATTTGTCAGGGTCATCTCCTAGGTGAATGGGTTTATCTATATTGCTTGTTTCAGATCTTCCTGCTTCCCTCTCCCGGCTGCCTGCCCTCCTGATGGGACCCCGCTCCCGGCTACCTGCCCGCCTGACCGGGACCCTCTCCCGGCTACCTGCCCGCCTGACCG